GCGGTGCTTTCCTGCGCTATACGACGCCTGTGGTATAGGTCAGTGAAGTAGGAGCAGTTCCCCTACCGCGGCGGCTCCTAGACAACGGGTCTACGATTGACTCATCTAGCCAGTCATACCGCGCGTAAACACGATCCGCTCCAGCTGTTCTCGCACTCGGGCCTCCACCGCCTTCCTCCTCCTCTCGCTCCTTTCGCTCCTCTTCCTCGCCGTTTCCTTCCCACCTTCTCGGTTTCTCTTCCTCTCTCGCTCTCCTTTCCTCGCCCCGTCTCTCTTCCCGTGCTCTCTCGCGTGCTCTACCGTTTCGCGCGCGCGTGTACGCACGCACTTCCCGAGAACAACGGTGCGTTCTCCGTATTTTTAGAGCCACCGGCGAAAATCCGACCCTCCGCCGCCCCCTCATTTTTCGTCCTTCGTCCCGCACCCGGCTCCTTTCTTCCCTCCTCTTTCAAAATTTACCTCGTCTCTCGTGAACCGCGCTATTTATATCGCGAAGTTCGGTTATCGAAATCTTGTTCGTTTCTCTCTCTCTCTCTCTCTCTGCCTCTCTACAGGCGCGTATCATTGGTCAGATGCGTTTTTCAAAATTTCCGTCCGATCCGCACGGTCTTCAGTTACTTCCGTTGAATTTCTTCGCGCACGTATCAGCCGTTTTATACCGAATGCCATTATTTCGCGCGCGCAACCGCTTGTAATTTGCCATCCTATCGCCGGGCGAAGATACCACCTCGGGACGCTAAATAAATATTTCTCTGTCTTTCCTTCCCCTTCTTAATCTCTCTTTCTCTCTCGCTCCCTCTTTTTTCCTCTCATCTCGCTGCAAACCAGAAAACCTCGAATAGAGCCCGAAGAATCGTTCAACCGTGCGCGAGCCTCCACGGAACTGCAACGCACGACGCGAAAGAAGGATGCAGGCGCGAGGTGGAGTTGAGGAGGGACGATAAGGGAAGAGACGAGAGAGAAAGAGAGAGTGATGCGACGAAGGGGGAAGGGAAACGAAGGAACGGGAGGATGGGGGGTGAGGAGAATGAGGATGAAGAGAGGAGGCGGAGGAGGTGGTGGCGGAGGAGCGGCGGGAGGGGCCGGAGAACGAGTTCCGATTTTAGCGCAGTCGCGGCGGCCTCAGAACGAGCGGCGCTATTATGCACTAGTAGCTTGATGGCGTCACCCGTGCAACCTTGGCTCGGGTCAGTCCTCTATCATACTGCAGGCAGAGTTCCCCCGACTCCCCCCTCCTGTTTCCCTCCCGCTGTCCGCCCCTCTTCCTCTCTCCCGTTCGCCGCCGCCGCCGCGCTTAACCCTCTCTCGCTCTTTCTCTCCTCGTCTCTTTATCTCGACCCGTCTCCTCTTCCTCCCGTGGCCAGTGGCGTAAAGGGGAACGCTTCTCTCTGCTTCGTGGCAGCTTCGAAACTTTTGCTTTCTTCCAGCATAATGTGGTACACCGCCGTGCGTGTGCGCGCGCGCCAGCGTGTGTATCAAATGCTGAGAATTTTTCCCCCCGCGGGAGCTACACGGGGTGACACTGCGGAGCGCGCGTTCTCAGTGGCGTAAAAGTCGCGGAACGACTCCGTCCGTCGACGAATACGGTTTCGAAACACTCTTGCTTTCTTCCACAGCGTAATTTGGTACACCGCTATCTGCGTGCGTGCGAGAGCGCGCGTGTGTGTGCCGAATGTCTCTCTTCTTACGAGAGAGTGCGTGCGGTGACACTACCTCCACGACGTTCGTTCGTTGCTTCGTTCCAGCGACGTAGGAAACGCGAAATTTCTTTCGCAACAGTCGTCTTCTCGCGATTCTTCCATATCTTCGCTCATATCCCCTCGTGCGGAACGTGTTTGCGGAGATTCGCCACGGAATTGCGTGCGTCTATCGACGCAACACAGCCGACATCAATCACGCATCACGGTGGCGCAAGAAACGTATACGGTTCGTCGTCGCGATGGCGATGCACGATCTACGAAACTTCAGCTCGTATCTATCCGGCGAACCGGCCGAATGCCCGGTCGCGTCCTTCGGATCAGCGTCTGCTGGCGGCAGGAAAGGATGTTGCCTCAAAGCTATTGCTTTTCTTCGTCATTCCTCGCGTGTGAAGCAACACCCTCTCCCTACACTTCGAGATATGTCGAAAGATCTTCCACGAGTAGCCCACCAAAAATAAATAGAAGTAGTGCTACTCGACATATTTGAAGTTTCGAAACTTCGGTATAATTCGATATTTGACGAGGAAGTTCCAAGTCGAATTATTTGAAAATTCGAGATATCAAAAAGCTGCTAATAGAATTAATTTGGAGAGTGAAACAAAATGCAGTGCAATTAGAGAGTATCAGTTTAACCCAGATAGTAAGATGTCCTAAGATATCGTAAAGACGTCTTTTAGATAATAAGAAGTCTAAAGGGCATTTTTGAGACATTTTTTAGACATACGTGTTGTTTGAGTATCTTTAGTTCAATTCTGCGATTCGTACTTGTCTTGTTTAAAACAAAGTGAATGAAGGAAGTATAAATATAAACAAATCTCGTTAACTTGATTTTAAAATCAATGCAAATTTCGTCATGATGTATAACAGCGTACAAGAAAAGATCACATTCTTTAGGATAATAAATATTACTTACTGTGCCTACAGGACGAACACACTTAATGTTTCGAATATTCAAACATTCGAGTATCCGAATGTTCGAATTTTCGTGCTTTAAAATTTCATTATTCGAATACAGCGTATTGAAGATTAAACAATTCGGTGTTTCGAAGCTTCGAAGAGCCGAAGCTTCGAATATATAATTTCCAGCCCCAATAAATATTAATAATGTTAAACCGATTTTCTTTTTCTCAACGAGACAATACGAGCATCGGTTTCCGAGAGAGATAAACTTCGTCGAGATCGACGGGTGTGCGCGCGCGCGCGGATTTGAGTGATAAAACTTTTCAGTCTATTGCATCCGCGCGCCTCCTTTCTTTCGTTCATTGATTAAACTTTCGTAAGTAAGTTGCTGGAACTCGACGACGCTTTTTAGGAGATCGCTCGACTTTGCGAAACAAGGAAATTCCCCGCTTGAGGAGAAGGTGGAGGAGGAACAGCGATCCGCGAACGTGCGTCAGACGTTCTCTACGCACACGGGGTCCTCTGCTTGCGCGGTTCAAATCTCAGATCGCGCGTACTCGCATCTGTACGATCGTGATCGACGTTGCGCCCGTCTCGATGCGACTTTAATCGCGCGAACGTCGCGGTTCGCCGGCTGCGCATCGGGAGCGCTCCAATGGTGACCAATAAAAATCAACTATTAATAAAAGCAACCGTTCCGCTCGGTTTTCCGCGTTTTAATCTCTCCAGGACAGAGCTGGTATGCCGGAAATGAGATTATCCTAGCGCGGAATATGGGGCGACGTGAAGGTGGGGTTATCGAAAGCGAATATCGAGTTCATCGATCAATCGGATGACAGGAACGACAGTGGCATCGACGACGACGACGGTGACCACGACGTTTTCCCTCTTTCTCGCTCCGCGAACGACGGCTATTAATAGTTCATTGCACGTTCAACTGCGACGTATGTACTTAACCGCCGCGCGGTGCGAAAACTAACTCGATAGACGTTAACTCGACCCTCCGTCGCGAATAATCGAGATAATAACGCCGCTTCGTGGCCGAGGATTCGTTCGGGGTGCGATTAAAGCGCGTCTCTCTCTCTCTTTCTTTCTATCTCTCTCGAGGTACCGCGGGAGGAGCTTGATTTATGGGTTTCGCGCGCGCGATGCTGAAACAATTTCTACGTTCCGTATCATTCGGCCGCGATAAAATAGATCCCATTGTCGTAGTAGCGCAGCGACATGATTATTTCGGTGAATACACCGCGGAATGATCCGCGTACGAGTTATCGTGCAAGTCGCGCTCCCTTCTAACTCACCGATACACGCGATGCGCGATTAAACGAATACACGGTCGATGGCGATATTTCTCTATAAATAACAGTTCTATAAAAAAGGAAAAAATAAATACAGGAAGATAGTCTCCGTGCGTATTCACGAGTCGGAAGATAGTCGATAAACTCTGAACCACCCCTCTCTAGATCGACGCCCTCAGATAATTTTCGTGTAATTACGTTATCTCGTTAATTATAATGTTCGTGAGTAATCACCTATTAAGAGTGAGAGATTAGCGAAGTTTTGCGCAACGAGACGCTTAGTGGACATAGGCGAAGGCTACGTCGTCGTCTGTCCCGGCGTAACACACATACTCTCCAAATTTCTTCGGGTAAAATTCCACTCAAAAAGTGTAGTGACAGCCGAGTCACTCGGAATCCGAGTGGCTTTTAAAATTATTATGAAGTATTTACTCTTTGAATCGTTGAGTTGAATACGTTCGTTCAGAATTGAAGATCGAAAATCTGCGATAAATTTTGTTACCGCGCGATGAATAAGTTTCTAAACAACGCCAATGCATATCAGATGTATATAGTCCAATGGAATTTGAAACACCAAAATTTTATACTGAAATTTTGAATGTCTAATAGGATAGAATGATCAAGATGATGTTCCTGAATTCGATTAGAGAAGAGCTATTGTTTGTTCTTTTGTAGCAATTAAAAAAAAATTGGGGAAACAAATTTTATTCGCAATACACTCTCTTTCGATTGTACATTTTGAGCAGCTAAAACAATCGGTATGTCCTTTAGTAAGGGTAATGAAAGATTTGGCACGAGCATCACATATGATAGAATGTATCAACACTGAAAATGTTGTCTCCTTGTAAGTTACACCTTTATTAATCAAATTATTAATTTACGTCGGAAAAGCAAGTTCACTTTACTTTTCTCCACACCGCGAAAGGCTCAAATATCAGATCTACCCTCAAATCTTGAAACGTTTATTCGTACGGCTTTATGTAACCGCTCGTTTTGACTGCGAGATTTCGCTGCGGGAAATTCCCGAGAATAAGAGAATATCCTCATTTCCCGCCGGCAGCGAATTTCTCTAATCCCGGCCCTTTTTCTGTCTTCTCCTCAGTGTCCGAGAGCTACAGCAGTTACGTGAACTCCATGTACGGCGGAGCCAATCAGTTCGCGACCCCCTGCACCCCGAGTCCGCCGCGGGGGCCCGGCGGCGTGCCCACCAGCGTGATCCAGGCGGCCACCAGCTCGGTCTCGGACGACCTCTACCTCCTCGACCTGGGCTTCCCGCCGCGCACGAAGAAGAGCAAGCTGAAGAAGCCGCGGCAGGGCGAAGGGGGCAGCGGCGGCGCCGCGGTGAAGCGGAAGTCGCGCGAGGGCTCGACCACTTACCTGTGGGAGTTCCTGCTGAAGCTGCTGCAGGACCGGGAGTTCTGTCCGCGCTACATCAAGTGGACGAATCGCGAGCGGGGCGTCTTCAAGCTGGTCGACAGCAAGGCGGTCTCGCGGCTCTGGGGCCTGCACAAGAACAAGCCGGACATGAACTACGAGACGATGGGCAGGGCGTTACGCTATTACTACCAGCGCGGCATCCTCGCCAAGGTGGACGGCCAACGTCTGGTGTATCAGTTCGTCGACGTGCCCAAGGACATCGTCGAGATCGATTGTACGGGCGCATGAGACAGGGGGCCGACCCGTCCCGCGGGTGACCACGAGGAGCAGCGACAGCAACAACAATACGGCGTCTCAGCGCGAATCGCGCGCTTACTACGTCGATCGCCACCGCGGCGTCGCGGCTTCGTCGCGGAGCCTCTTCCGCGCGAGAGATCGTCGTCGTGCGACGACGCCTCTATCCGTCGAGACGCGCCGACCTGGCACACCCCTCAGACGTTGTAAAATGCGTTCTCTCTCTATCTATCTCTTTTTTTGACCCTCTCTTCCCCTTTTCTCCCTCCCCGCTTCTCTCTCCATTTCTCTCTTGTTCTCTGGCTTCGTTTGTTCCTTGTATATTATACCTATGTAAATGTATATTGTAAGGCGCCGGGTGACGACGTCGTCGGAGGTGGTCCCGACCTCGTCCTCTTCCTGCGGTCCGTCCCTCTCCCGCGCGCCGAATGCCGCCCGCAGGACGGGAACAGGACCGCGCCGTGCGGGCTGCAGACGGGCTGCGGCGTGCTCGCGCGCGCCCGACACTCGTCGAAATTTGTACAAAATTTAGTTCTTAATGCCGAGAGCAAGTTTATATATCGGGCGTATACCCTTTTGCGAGGAAGGGCGCCGTGGACAAATTACTTAAGCATGGATCATCGTGGCGGAAGCGAAAAATGAAATTGTATATTCGAGAGCGCGGATAAATTATTTATTGTATATTAGACGTTTATATATGTTACCTAAGGAAATTGTTACGCGCGTTGATTCGCGAGCGGGGGAAAAAAAACGTATTACGGAAGCAAAGTCTAAAAAAAGAAAAAGGAAAAAACGAAGAACAAGAAGAAAAAGCAGAACGGGAGGAGGAGGAAGAAAAAAAAAAAGAGAAACGACATGTAACGAAACGAGGGCTGTGAGAAGGGATTACGGAATCGAGATGAGAGAAGAGGGGAGAGGTGGCACGGGAGAGAGGATGAGAGAGAGGCGTCTCTCGAAGTTTTATGGAGCGAGCTCAGGGAGGGGGTACGCACTATATTTTTTTAAGTATAAGGCGGGAGGGATTGGCCCTTTTGATACTGCGAGCTGAGGGTTCGACAACGCAAGGTGCTGGCTAATACACGTACATACACATACACGCATACACACACACATACGCGTACATACATAACACACACGAGGTCCAAGAATATTGTTTAGAGCAAACCTAGTGTTACTGATTCGTAAAGATTATCGAGACAGACACATTATATATCCCTGTATATAGTTATAAAGAATACCTTTAGTAAGAAGAAGTATATATATATATATATATTATTGAATATTATATATATATTATATAAATATATATATTGTATGTTATGTAGTAAATGGAGCGAGTTGATGTGTCTCTATGAGATTTGCCGTCACGTCGGTCGGCACTGGCGAAGGGAGCTGCTTGACCGTCTCGTGCGACGTCTCTCTCTTCAAAAAAAAAAAAAAAAAAAAAAAAAACTTTACTATTTCCTTTTATACGTTGTACGCTTATAAGTCGCGATCGGAAACGCGTGCCCGCGCGAACTGTCTGCCGATCGTGCGTCCGAGCCCTCTTAGTCGCAGTCGCAACGCACACAATTTCGCCGGTCTTTTGCAAAAGAAATTGCTCTCAGACTGATCCGAGACGTCGCACGTAACAACCGAAGAAGAAGCCCGGCCGATCGGGGATGCGTAATAAACGATATAACGATATAACTCTAGGGCAAAATTTAACTTATTGGCGCCCCGGGACGTGACGTGCGCGCGAGTGCAAGTGTATCCTATATAGTCCTAAGTTTTTTGTACATACAAGAGGAGAATCGTTGAGAAGAGAATGCGTTTGTACAAGGAGAGAGCCGTGTGTTGAACGCTGGTTCATCCTCGCGATATGAGGTGCGAGAGAACGAGCGGGAAAGAATGAGAACGCGTGAGAACGGCGGGAGACGAGGGGAGAGGAAGCGTAGTTAGATATCCGCGCGTCGTGCACACACACAGGCCGATTTCGCGCGACAGACTCCGGGGAGAAATGAGAAATACACGTGTATACAGTATACATTTGAACAGTGGATCCAGCGCTGCCAATAATGCCTGTAAAGAAAAAAAAGAAAGAAACGATCCCTCTCTGCATTTTGCCGCTCGAGCCCGAAATCTGTCTCTCGGGACGGTAGCACACACGCACAGTGCTGTCAGATCGATCAGTGTTTTTCGGGACACCAGACATATACCGATGATACAAAGCAAATTGCCTTCTCGTATTAACAAAGATGGTTGCCTTCTAACAAAAAAAAAAAGATGCATTATAAAGAAGAAAAAAGAGTTCTAGCGATTTGTATCGTGAATACCGTCACTTTGTCCAGGTACTTAAAAAGCCCTTTACATATACCTAGCATCGTTTGCGAAGAATTGAATTTTGTAATTTTATCAGCGAAAAAAAGTTCTTTGGTACGTGGCGACTTTTATCGTACTTCGAATACAATGTATCGGCGGGAAATATTAATGATAATATTAATATTAATAATAATAATGATAATATATAAAAAAAATGAAGAAGAGAAGACGATGATATATCAGAGTACAATGGACAAAAAAGCAAGTACCTATAGTATACCACTTCTATACACGATAACAGACACTTATAAACAATGAATGGACACTACAACAGAAATCCTATTTTTAGGTAAATTAAATTTACATATACATAACAATCCACTACACTACGAGATATTTTAACAAATAAGACTTTACTGTAATAGAGATAAATACATAATTATTTACCTGTAAAATATATGAAGACACGATGGATTGACGTAAGGAACTCTAATGTAACGTTCTGTGATTCGTTGTTTGTAGGTGAAATTTAATAAAAGATTATTGTATCATAATACACTCTTGTGTGTAATTTTCATTCCTATGACACTGTTTAAAATTCTGTCTTATGGATTTCTGACTACTTGATTCGCAGCGAGGAATGAACCAACATTGAAACAATTTAAATTACATGGAATCAACGTCAAATCAATGCTGATTTTTAATGTTTATTTCTTGCTGGGTTGCTCTCAACAAAAACGATCTTATTTACGTCGATATTAACTTAAGTAATCACATTTTATGCAGATACTTGACAGATTGTAGCATAAAGTATGCTTTTATACTTATTATAACCTGTTTTGTCAAATTTTATCGTACAAATGAAGAGTCGCCTATATATATACGAATGACGTTTAAATAGTGCTCGAAAAAACATGAACTATTATTTTTTCTCATTTACGTACCTGCAACTTCCACTGCGATTTTTTTCATCATACACAGCTATTCAACGTTGAAGTAAAATACGACTTCCAGCTAGGATCACTCGCAAGGAATACGAGAGGCACACAAATCGAAGCACGAAACGTAACATAAGTGTCAAATTTTATAGTACTTGTTTCGTCCGGTAAAAACGAATGCATTCCCTCTATTTTCCTCGTTTACTTCTATATTTTCGACGAATATCGAGAGACGTCTCGTTCGATCTCTTTTGTACGGTACGATTGATATGTACTCCGAGGAACGATGTGAAACAATTGCGAACTGGCACAGTCACGTGACATAATTCAAATGATTTTGCACGGAGATCCTCAGTTACGATCGTGTATAAAAGTTACGATCGTGTCATATTTTTTATTGTTCTTTCTATGAAAATTTATTTTGAATAAATATATAAATTTGTAACGAAACACTGATTTTTAAACAAAACCAATTTTTTAAATTTATTTTTCAACGCAGCCTATGACGCCTTGAATCTTCTTTAAGGTAAGTGGCGGCTCCTAGCGGAGACTCGGAAACTAATTTGCAACGTCCTTAGCCAAGCTTGGAACCAAACATTGTCGAGACTTTACCATAACGGTCTTCCAAAATGTACTTATCAATCGCCACGCGCAACTTAGTTCCAAAGCTCCCCGCTACGAGTCGCCACTTTTACGACGGAGATTCGTGAAACGACTCAATGACAAGTCGAACGCATCTAATTGCTTTCAAGTAATACAACTAAACGGTAAATACGTCAATTGCAATTTCTCTGTCTTCGGAAATATTACCAAAGACTCGGTATGTAGATATTAAATAATTAAAAAAGAATTTAAACTTAATTAATTATTCTCGATGTTCCGAAGATGTGATCGATTAGCAGAGGTCCATACTTTTTTATTAATTTATTTAACTGTTACTCCTTAACGTCTCCCACGCGTGCATTCTTCTTTCGTAGTGACGTAAGAGTTATATATAACTCGATCGACCGAGCCGGCCGGTTGTATCATCGCTATCATTGGCGCCGAGGCGCAATCGAGCGTCCACTTAGCGTCGGGTCCTAACGGGAAGTGGTTCCGAATACGTCTGCACGACGTTTGGCCCGGTTAAAGCGTCATCAGAACGTCATTCGTAGCAGACCTAAGTAGGACGAGTTCAGGAGTTCACTATTGAATCGTACGAGTAACTGTTGGCCCAGTGACTGACATTTTCCGTATTATCGATAAGGTGATTCATCGTCGCGCGCGTACATTCGGCGGCGTATCAGTGCGCGATACTCTATCGATCCCGGCAGCGGCGGATTGATCTTGCCACACCCCACAGTTTCGTGGCCATTTTGGACCCGACAGTCAGTGGGCTCGTCTCTGCTGCTGTCGCCCGACCATGGATCAAATCACGCCCAAGGAGGTGAAGATCCTCGAGAATCCCGAGGACATTCAGGATAGACGAGAGCAGGTACTGCGACGATATGCCAACTTCAAGGTGGAGGCGCGCAACAAGCGCGAGAGGCTCGAGGACTCCCGTCGCTTTCAGGTATGTGCCGAAGTGTCTTCTCCGAACTGTCCGACTAAGTGATTATGCACGATTTCTCTTGCGGTTACGTTATTTAACGTTCTCGTTTTCTCTCTTAAGTACTTTAAGCGAGATGCGGACGAACTCGAAGGATGGATCTACGAGAAGCTCCAGGCAGCTTCCGATGAGAGCTACAAGGATCCGACTAATCTGCAGGCAAAGATTCAGAAGCACCAGGCCTTTGAGGCTGAAGTCGCAGCTCACTCAAACGCCATCGTGCTGCTGGACAATACCGGCTCAGAGATGATAGCTCAACATCATTTCGACAGCGATATTATTCGCAAGAGATTAGGTGTGTTTGGGTGTCAATTAAAGTGCCTTGTTAAGGGGATGTCGTATTTGAAAACTTTACCGACAGAATATTGATTCTTTTTCGGGAAGTTTAGTTTAGTCTTATTGGTTGATACAGAGTTATAAATGCTTTTACATAATGAAGGTATGTGCTAAAATAAATTGAAGCATTACTTAATATGCAACAAGAACGATTAAAAATTTCTAAACTGACATCTCCAGCTGTCAGCATAAATATTTACCTGATACAGAAATCTTGCAGCTTGTTTGTACCGAATCAGTCAGTGCTCCGGTCAGAAAAGTTTCACAGAACATTCTTATACCTTTTTAATCAAATTTAGAAGCCTATGAAAGATAAGAAAAATTTATAAAAGTTCTTACACATCTCGGTTATAGGTTTTCCTTGATAGATACGATAAAACAGAGTGACATATGCGTTCATCGCGTTCACATTTATATCACACTTATACTCGCGTAAGACCAACATATACAAGAAATATGAAAAGAATAATGTGATGGTGTCAGTGTTATATAACGTGACAACTTGAGGATCGTTCCTACGTTATGGACGCTTATCAAGTTCGTCATTGACCTTAACATCCCCTTATGAGATCAGTAGTTTGATTTTGAAGCGGACAGAATTGTGATCAATTATTCAAATACCTCTGTAGTAGCTCTCTGAGTATGCTAGGAAATTCCAGCGGAAGAGAAGGACACTGCACTTATGATCAATCAATTGATTAGTTGCGACGTGATATATATAATTATTTACAGAGGACCTGCATCACCTGTGGGAATTGCTTTTATCCCGACTGGCTGACAAAGGGCTGAAGCTGCAACAGGCTTTGGTACTCGTGCAGTTCATTCGTCACTGCGACGAGGTGATGTTCTGGATCCACGACAAGGAGGCGTTCGTAACGACCGATGAATTCGGACACGACTTGGAGCACGTGGAGGTGCTCCAAAGGAAATTCGACGAGTTCCAAAAGGACATGGCCAGCCAAGAGTACAGAGTGACGGAGGTGAACGAGATGGCGGACAAGCTGCTGTTGGACGGGCATCCCGAGCGCGACACCATTCTGCGGAGGAAAGAGGAGCTCAACGAGTCCTGGCAGAGACTGAAGCAACTGGCGATCCTGCGGCAGGAGAAGCTCTTCGGGGCGCACGAGATCCAGAGATTCAACCGCGACGCCGACGAGACCATGGCCTGGATCGCGGAGAAGGACGTGGTCCTGTCGTACGACGACTTCGGTCGGGATCTCGCCAGCGTGCAGACCCTGCAACGAAAGCACGAGGGCATCGAACGCGACCTGGCCGCCCTCGAGGATAAAGTGTACACTTTGGGCGCGGAGGCGGATCGTCTCGCCGCGATTCACGAGGCGGACCACTCCAAGCAGATCCAAGCGAAGCGCGCCGAGATCCTGCAGTCATGGGAGAGCCTGACGGCGAAAGCGAAAGAGCGCCGGCTGAAACTCGACGAGTCTTACTACCTGCATCGCTTCCTGGCGGATTATCGCGACTTGGTATCGTGGATGAACGACATGCGCGCCATCATCTCCGCGGACGAGCTAGCCAAGGACGTGGCCGGCGCCGAGGCGTTGGTCGACAGGCATCAGGAGCACAAGGGAGAGATCGACGCGAGAGCGGACAGCTTCGACGCCACCACGTTGGCCGGCAACAAGCTCCTGGAGGAGAAGCATTACGCGGCCGAGGAAGTGGCGCGCAAACTGAACTCCCTCGCCGAGGACAAGTCGTCTCTGCTGAGCCTGTGGGAGAAGCGACGCATCCTGTACGAGCAATGCGTGGATCTACAGCTGTTCTACCGAGACACCGAGCAGGCGGACGCGTGGATGGCCAAGCAGGAAGCGTTCCTGGCTAACGAGGACTTGGGGGATTCCCTGGACAGCGTGGAGGCGCTGATCAAGAAGCACGAGGACTTCGACAAATCGTTGGCGGCTCAAGAGGAGAAGATCAAGGTGCTGGACGACTTCGCCGGGAAGTTGATCGAAGGCGAGCACTACGCCGCGGACGACGTGGCGCAGCGACGGCAGCTGCTGTTGGAGCGACGGGCGGTTCTGCTGGAGAAGTCCGCCCAGAGGCGCCGCCGTCTGGAGGACGCGTACAAGCTGCAGCAGTTCGAGCGGGACTGCGACGAGACGAAGGGCTGGGTGAACGAGAAGCTCAAGTTCGCCACCGACGACAGTTACCTGGACCCGACCAACTTGAACGGCAAGGTTCAGAAGCACCAGAACTTCGAGCAGGAACTGAACGCCAACAAGACGCGCATGGAGGAGATGGTCGCCACCGGGCAGGAGCTGATCGACAGCGGCCACTACGCCAGCGACCGCATACGCACCCGCACCGACGAGATCGTCACCCTGTGGGAGAGCCTGGCGCGAGCTACCGAGAAGAAGGGCGCCAAGTTGCAGGAGGCCTCTCAGCAGCAGCAGTTCAATCGGACGGTCGAGGACATCGAGCTGTGGCTGTCCGAAGTGGAAGGGCAACTCATGTCGGAGGACTACGGCAAGGACCTGACCAGCGTGCAGAACCTGCAGAAGAAGCACGCGCTCTTGGAGGCCGATGTGGGCTCGCACGCCGACAGGATCGACGGGATCGCTCAGGCGGCTGAGCAGTTCGTCAAGTCGGGTCACTTCGACGCTGACAACATCAAGTCCAAGCAGGAGCAACTGCAGGCGAGGTACGGCGCTCTGCAGCGGCCGATGAGCGTGAGGAAGCAACGACTGCTGGATTCCCTGCAGGTGCAACAGCTCTTCCGGGACATCGAGGACGAAGAGGCGTGGATTCGCGAGAAAGAACCGGTTGCGGCGTCCACGAATCGCGGCCGCGACCTGATCGGCGTGCAGAACCTCCAGAAGAAGCATCAGGCCGTTCTAGCGGAGATCAACAATCACGAGCCGAGGGTGGCGGCGGTTTGCCAAGCGGGCTCGGCGATGCTGCAGGAGGGGCACTTCGCGGCCGAGGAGATCAGTCAGCGACTCGCGGCTTTGGACGAGCACTGGGGCCAGCTGAAGGACAAGGCGCGGCAGCGCAAGAACGACCTGGACGATTCCCTGCAGGCGCATCAGTACTTCGCCGACGCGAACGAGGCGGAGTCGTGGATGAAGGAGAAGCGGCCGATAGTGATGAACGGCGACTACGGCAAGGACGAGGACAGCTCGGAGGCTCTGCTGAAGAAGCACGAGGCCCTGGTCAGCGACCTGGAGGCGTTCGCGAGCACGATCGCGGCGCTGAGGGATCAAGCCGCCGCTTGCAGGCAGCAGGAGACGCCGACGGTCGACATCACCGGCAAGGAGTGCGTGGTCGCTCTTTACGACTACACCGAGAAGTCACCCAGAGAGGTGTCCATGAAGAAGGGCGACACCCTGACTCTCTTGAACTCCAACAACAAGGACTGGTGGAAGGTCGAGGTGAACGATCGCCAGGGCTTCGTGCCGGCGGCGTACGTGAAGCGCGTGGAGCCCGAGGCGGGTCTCAGCGCGTCCCAGCAGAACTTGGCGAGGGAGCAGAGCTCGATCGCCGCGCGGCAAGCGCAGATCCAAGGCCAGTACGACGATCTGCTGCGTCTGGCGCGCGAACGGCAGAACAAGCTGAACGAGACCGCGAAGGCTTACGTGCTGGTGAGAGAGGCCGCGGAGTTGGCCACCTGGATCAAGGACAAGGAGAACCACGCGCAGGTGCAGGACGTGGGCGAGGACCTGGAGCAGGTGGAGGTGATGCAGAAGAAGTTCGACGACTTCCAGGCGGACTTGAAGGCGAACGAGGTGCGCTTGGCCGAGATGAACGAGATCGCCGTGCAGTTGATGAGCCTCGGCCAGACCGAGGCGGCGTTGAAGATACAAACGCAGATCCAAGACCTGAACGAGAAGTGGACCAGCCTGCAGACGCTCACCGCCGAACGCGCCAGCCAGCTCGGCTCGGCGCACGAGGTGCAGCGCTTCCATCGCGACGTCGACGAGACGAAGGACTGGATTCGCGAGAAGGACGCGGCGCTCAACAACGACGACCTGGGGAAAGACCTGCGCAGCGTGCAGGCTCTGCAGCGCAAGCACGAGGGTCTCGAGAGGGACCTGGCCGCGTTGGGAGACAAGATCAAGCAGCTGGACGAGACTGCCAACCGGCTGATGCAGTCGCATCCGGAGACCGCCGAGCAGACCTACGCGAAGCAGAAGGAGATCAACGAGGAGTGGACTCAGCTCACCGCCAAGGCCAACAGCAGGAAGGAGAAGCTTCTGGACTCGTACGATCTGCAACGATTCCTCAGCGACTATCGCGACCTGATGGCTTGGATCAACTCGATGATGGGCCTGGTCGCCTCCGAGGAACTCGCCTCGGACGTCACGGGCGCCGAGGCGCTGCTCGAACGTCACCAGGTACGTCCTCCGACGTTCGCCGTGAATCATTTGCAATGTACAATCGCCACCGTTCAACCGGCCGCATCGTTCACCAGTCGTTTGAATTATAGAATCACAGAGCAGAGATAGACGCGCGATACGACGTACTTCCAGAGGTATAAGAACGTTTGAGCATACATCGAGCGGGAAGTCACGGATTTGCCGGCGAGAGTGGCTGAAATTAATCATCATCTCGCACAGACCGTCTCCGTTGACGGATTTCCTTCTTTTATTTTGCCCCCCCTTTTTTTTTCTTCTTTCTCTTCACGAGAGGAGGCTGAGACTGATCTTGTCGATGTTTTGCAATGAAAATACCGCCTATTAACAGTTTGAGTATTTTCAATGCTTCTAGCGTAATTGCTGCCTTTCTGCTTGGCGTAGTGTCTACTGTCGAATGGGTTGATCGTCTACGTTAACAAACGTGCCCGGCAGACATAATGACGTGTTAACCCCTTCACTGCCGCCACCATTTTCCTCGACTGGTCCTAAAATCGTCCGAGAACAAAGGGTTCTCGAAAATTAATGGAAGTTTCTACAGAGGGTTTTGATGGTGCTAATGACGAATTTAAAGAATGTTTCGCTATAAAAAAAGAATGGCGGCTAATGTGGCAAATTTTCATTGGGATTTCATGTCAGTTTACAAGAAATGTAGAAGTTTTTTTAAACTATCTAAATGTTATATTAAATTCATCGTGTAATATAACAAAATACGACGAGAATATTCGAGGATTCGGCAGATTCTCACTTCTCTGACGGCCATGTCTTTTTTCCGAGGCAACATTTTGCAAATCACACCCAAAAACGGTGTCAGATACATTGAAAAAGAATCCCTCCAGTAACACTTCGCTTCGAGGGTGAAATCACTCGAGGGCTCCAATATGACAAAATAATACACGACGAGAAAATGCATTCTCGCCATCGGCGGTCAAGAGGTTAATAAGGTCAGTGACGTCATTAATACGTCACCATGTTCGCGGGGGTGGTTGTGCATTTGACACAAGAGAGACTCCAGTGATTATTAATCCGCGTTGAATTCCCCGCAATTGCTCTTTGCAGGAGCACCGAATGGAGATAGACGCGAGAGCGGGCACCTTCCAGGCGTTCGAACTGTTCGGTCAGCAGCTGCTGCAGTCCAGCCATTACGCCAGCGTGGAGATACTGGAGAAGCTCGAGTCCATGGCCGAGGCGCGGCAAGAGCTGGAGAAGGCTTGGATTCAACGGCGCATGCAGCTCGACCAGAACCTCGAGCTGCAGCTGTTCTGCAGGGACTGCGAGCAAGCGGAGAACTGGATGAGCGCGCGGGAGGCTTTCCTGAGCAGCGCGGACGCGGTCGACAGCAGCGACAACGTCGAGGCACTAATCAAGAAACACGAGGACTTCGACAAGGCGATCAACGCCCACGAGGAGAAGATCGCCACGTTGCAGACGTTGGCCGATCAGCTGATCGCCGCCGAGCACTACGCCGCCAAGCCCATCGACGAGAGACGCTGCCAGGTGTTGGACCGTTGGCGGCACCTGAAGGACGCTCTCATCGAGAAGCGGTCCAAGTTGGGCGAGTCTCAGACGTTGCAGCAGTTCTCCAGGGACGCCGACGAGATGGAGAACTGGATCGCCGAGAAACTTCAGCTGGCTACCGAGGAGAACTACAAGGACCCCGCGAATATACAGTCGAAGCATCAGAAGCACCAGGCGTTCGAGGCCGAATTGGCGGCCAACGCGGACCGTATTCAATCGGTCCTCGCAATGGGAGGTAATCTGGTGGAGAAACATCAGTGCGCCGGCTCGGAGGACGCTGTTCTCAAGAGACTGGCGTCCATCGCCGACCAATGGGAGTACCTCACGCAGAAGACCACCGAGAAGTCGATGAAACTGAAGGAGGCCAATAAGCAGCGCACCTACATCGCGGCTGTGAAGGATCTCGATTTCTGGCTGGGCGAGGTCGAGAGCCTGCTCACGTCCGAGGACGCCGGCAAGGACCTCGCGTCGGTGCAGAACCTCATGAAGAAGCACAAGCTAGTCGAGGCTGACATACAGGCGCACGAGGAGAGAATCAAGGATATGAACGCGCAGGCCGACTCGTTGATCGATAGCGGCCAGTTCGACGCCGCCGGCATCCAGGAGAAGCGGCAGAGCATTAACGAGCGTTACGAGCGCATCAGGAACCTGGCGGCGCACCGACAGGCGAGACTCAACGAGGCCAACACGTTGCACCAGTTCTTCCGCGACATCGCCGACGAGGAGTCCTGGATCAAGGAGAAGAAGCTCCTCGTCGGGTCGGACGACTACGGCCGCGACCTTACCGGCGTGCAGAACTTGAAGAAGAAGCACAAGAGGCTGGAGGCCGAGCTCGGCAGCCACGAGCCCGCCATACAGGCGGTCCAGGAAGCCGGTGAGAAACTCATGGACGTTTCCAACTTGGGAGTGCCCGAGATCGAGCAGCGTCTGAAGCTTCTCAATCAGGCGTGGGCGGAACTGAAGCAGTTGGCCGCCACTCGGGGACAGAAGTTGGACGAGTCTCTGACGTACCAACAGTTCCTCGCCAAGGTCGAGGAGGAGGAGGCGTGGATCACCGAGAAGCAGCAGTTGTTGTCCGTCGAGGATTACGGCGACACGATGGCCGCTGTGCAGGGTCTGCTGAAGAAGCACGACGCGTTCGAGACCGACTTCGCTGTCCACGGAGAGCGTTGCAAGGATATCTGCGAGGCCGGCGAGGCGCTTATCAAGGCCGGCAATCATCGGGCGGACGCGATCAGCCAGCGGTGCGATCAGCTGCGCAACAAACTGGAGCAACTGGGAGCGCTCGCGGCTCGCAGGAAGACGAGGTTGAACGACAATTCCGCTTACCTGCAGTTCATGTGGAAGGCCGACGTGGTGGAGTCGTGGATCGCCGACAAGGAGACCCACGTGCGTTCCGAGGAGTTCGGCCGAGACCTCTCCACTGTGCAGACGCTGCTGACGAAGCAGGAGACCTTCGACGCCGGTCTTCACGCGTTCGAGCACGAGGGCATCCAGAACATCACCTCGTTGAAGGAGATGCTCGTCGACTCCGGCCACGATCAGACGCCCAGTATCCAGAAGCGCCACGGCGACGTCATCATCCGCTGGCAGAAGCTCCTGGCCGACTCGGACGCGAGGAAGCAGCGCCTCTTGAGAATGCAGGATCAGTTCAGGCAGATCGAAGAGCTCTATCTGACATTCGCGAAGAAAGCTTCCGCCTTCAACTCCTGGTTCGAGAACGCCGAGGAAGACCTGACGGATCCCGTGCGCTGCAACAGCATCGAGGAGATCCGCGCCCTCCGAGAGGCGCACGCGCAATTCCAGGCGAGCCTGTCCTCGGCCGAGGCCGACTTCCAGGCGTTGGCCGCCCTCGACCGGCAGATTAAGAGCTTCAACGTCGGACCGAACCCCTACACGTGGTTCACGATGGAGGCGTTGGAGGATACTTGGCGTAACTTGCAGAAGATTATCAAGGAGCGCGACGTCGAGCTCGCGAAGGAGGCGCAGCGGCAGGAGGAGAATGACAAATTGCGCAAGGAATTCGCCAAGCATGCCAACGCGTTCCATCAATGGCTTGCGGAAACGAGGTTCGTATTGCTTTCGGAGAAATTCTTCACCCGACTGATCGGTTCGGTCGAAAATCAAATGTACACTTATGCCGCAGAACGTCTATGATGGAAGGATCCGGATCTCTGGAACAGCAACTGGAGGCCACCAAGGTTTGTTCTACTGATAAACGTGTTTCTTCTAAAACTGATAAGGAAATGACAAAAATCATGAAAAGGGGTAAAACGTAGAAATTAAAAATAATAAGTAAAAAAAAATCGGCAGAAATGATGTGAACGATCTTTATATTCGTTACGTTTGCACAAGTGATACATTTTCGAACTTGCAGCGAAAGACACAAGAAGTGCGCGCACGTCGCCAGGATCTGAAGAAGATCGAGGACTTGGGAGCTATTCTGGAGGAACATTTGATTTTGGACAATCGTTACACGGAACACAGCACCGTAGGCCTGGCACAGCAGTGGGACCAGTTGGACCAACTGGGAATGCGCATGCAGCACAACTTGGAGCAACAGATCCAAGCCCGAAACCAGTCCGGTGTGTCTGAGGACGCGCTCAAAGAATTCTCCATGATGTTCAAGCACTTCGACAAGGATAAGAGCGGCCGTCTGAATCACCAGGAATTCAAGTCGTGCTTGAGAGCTCTGGGTTACGATCTGCCCATGATGGAGGAAGGACAGCCCGATCCAGAGTTCGAGAATATACTAGGTTCTTTTTATTGCTTTCAGTACTCTTTCTCAGACAACATAACGTCTGAAATCGGGACGTTTTAAAGACGTTACAGATAAGACATCTTAAGGACGTTTTCCAGACGTCTCATGTTCCGATTTTAGACGTTATGTCGTCTGGGTTTATTCTGATTCTGGTCCTCAGATTTCCGATTTAACGCCTGATCTTATTCGCAGACATCGTGGATCCGAACAGGGATGGTTACGTATCGTTACAAGAATACATGGCGTTTATGATCAGCAAGGAAACGGAGAACGTGCAGAGCTCGGAGGAAATAGAGAACGCTTTCCGAGCCATCACCGCGGCGGATCGGCCATACGTCACGAAGGAGGAATTATATGCTGTGAGTATCCTCGTCGCAAGATACTCGGAAATCCAGAATACAATGATCTTGATACAATTTGCCGAATCGATCGATTCTTTCCCTTTTTTTTTTGTTTTTCAGAACCTCACGAAGGAGATGGCCGATTATTGCGTCGCCCGTATGAAACCTTACGTAGATCCCAAGTCGGAACGACCGATAACAGCCGCACTGGACTATATAGAGTTTACGCGTACTCTTTTCCAAAATTAATCGCGCGCATACATACACCTATTATCATTATTACATTTGCAGCTTATTAAATTATAACCGCATAAACGGTACAAGTATCGCATTTTTCCCAAGAGACCACGTTTGATTAATATTTCTACTAATATATTATTAACATATTAATATATCATCGTTTATATAAAGTATATCGATAATAAAAAATTATACCGCACATAGATCAACTAGTTGATGCAGAAACTTGTACACGGCTTGTTTTTGAACCATTACTATACGAAACGTAAATTCTTCTCGTGAACGATTGCAGTATCTTTTATTATCTTTTTCTATTAGTAGGCATATATGCGAAAATGATATGAAATAAAGGTTGCAGAAATATCACTTGCATTTTATTGAGCAACTGGGTTTACAACCATCTGAGATCTCTCTTGGATTATTTGTTCGGCGCGGTACACTTTCCAGCAAATCAAGTAGTCCCTGGCGATTTTGAACAAAGTGTAGTAATTCATAAAGAGCAACAACGCTATCGACAGCAGTTGACACCATTCGGTTGTGCGTAATAGGATGAGCAACTGAAAGCCGACCAATAATAAATGTGCTCCTAGTACCGAGCACAGCAGCACGGTCGGGTTGTAGAAAAAGGTCTGCCGAAATACGAATGGGATTAGTAAGCTTGCCGATTGAGCGTTTCATTGTGGTTGAACCGATACTCCGGTCTCACGTACATGAAATCTGGAATGATCCGTGTTGCCCGGTTCCGCCGCTGTGCACAAACCCTCGGAACGGTAAATCTCTCGGTTGTGCCGTACGATTGAGCCGTGCGGCCACAACACCGCGTCGTTCCACGGTTGGATGTTGTACATGTGATTATTGCGATTTTCATTGGGTATCTTGACCCATCGACCTAAATGCAACGATGCTCTATGTAACACGTCGTAGTATCTAAAAATTCATCGGTGTTATCGGATAATTATCGTCTCCAATATTGATGGGCAATTCTCGCCGAGCGAAAAGGGACGTACTGACCTGACGGGACAAGTGTGAACGAAATAGGCGATCATTCTTCCAAGCCAGAAGAAGATCGCCTGCTGTATCACCCATGGCCGGCTGAAGTATAAATGCGGCGGTGCGAAAATCATGGGAGCAGCACCACAGATAAACGCTGTACCAGAAGACGCGAATAAGGCCTGCTTTATTCGTCGATTAAAATCGAATTTCAGTGTGGACACTTCCGCTCGGATGGCCGACGCATTCAGCGAACAGTTGTGCAGAGGTTTGTCTGTGTGAGAGAAAAGAGACATGCAATCCTAGAGAAATTGTACGCGTATGATTTTCCAACAATGACATTTACCTAATAGGTACTTCGTTTTCCGTTCCTCCTTTCCACATGAGGATGATGTGGAGATATCGAAAAATGGTGTTAAACTTACTCCAAACATACTAAAATATATCGACAAACTTCTGAAATAGATAAACGTTATGAGTAACACACCTTTGTATCCGCAATTTTAACTGATCAAAACAGAAATATTGATATGTTACAATAATGATAAATATTTTACATGCTAATATACAGGAAGATAAGATACACACGGATAACATAGATAGAACATTTTCAAAAGGTCATGTTTCTCAGCCAAATGATACAGGCACCAGGAAATGATGATCATCACAGTAATCGAGAGAGACATTCTGGAATAGTTACATGAATATTGAAACATTTTGATGCTATTGTTGATTCTTGTGTTAAACGTGAATCATTTACTAGTCAATATATGCATAATAATACCTCATGATCTTTTGGATGGTAGGTAACCATCGAACTGGTGATAATGTATCGATAGATCGACTTAATAATATATAAACTACTCTACGTGCCACAATTGTGAAAATAAATACAAGCACGTAAGGGTCTATCAAGTAAAAATTCTGAAACACGTTATACACGTACAGAATTTATAATCAATTTCTCAATCCTTACAATATCAGTGCATCAACATGTAATAAATGCAACCATACCATAGCATAAGAATTATAAGAGTGTGGTAACCACCATACGGTCTTGTATATATTCAACAGTTGCATACAAGTCGTCATGATCGAAATGGCTAAGGACATAATCTCGAAGGTCAATTGTCCATCGACTGGTACCACCGGTATAGGAACATGCTTCGGCGCCAGAGATCTTCCATTATAAATCTCATCAATCTTTTTATCGTCCGTGCTATTCCCGACCGTTCTCTCCCCGCTGTTGCTTCTTCCGCTGGCATTAGTAGAACTGGAATAAGTACTGCCGGTTTTACCAATCGTCCCAGTACGACTGGCGGCATTTCGTCTACCTCCGGGCATGCTGCACCGTTCGAGGCACATCGATTATTTACAATTTACGAGAAATACAAGCCACATTGTCGTAATGGTAATTTTGCAACAATCTCAGAAAACTCTGTTGAACGTGACGACTTCTTCAGGCACAATTTTCCCAACATATCTGTGTTATGTCACTGTAAACAAAAGCACACGTTGAACCCGTACCTATATCCTATGCAAATCAACTTCCCTCGTCGTAAACAACTCGTCCGCAATGTCATACGCTACGTATTGTTTATAGGACATAGCTCCGAAACGACAATGAGACGAATTGTGAATTAAAGTGCGAATAAGACACGCGGCATACGTTCACGACGTTACGAACAACTCGGCGAACGTATGAATATTTCAAGCACGGTTTCAAGTACGATCGTTATATTATTAACTCGGGCACATTTCCATTTTATGTCAGTTCACACAGGATTTCCGCGATGACATACTCCTCGCACTGTGCACAGTAAAATTTCGTACACACCTCCGAATAACGTCTATGCACGCTGTGTAGGTGGCGTTCAGACGCTCAACAAAAATGACGTTGGAACAAAGAGATTGGAAATCCTTGTGAGCAATGGATACACAAGTAGTTTTCGATGGTAGCGTGTGGACGATCTCTCGGACGTCCAGTGGCCATTTATAACAATAACAACTGCACAAGTAATTTTATCGTGTTATCTTGTGCGTTAACAGTCCACGGCTGAGAGAGTGTGCGTGTCAATTATGACATTTTTCCCAGTGATTTTCGTCAACCTTACGAGTACTTGCAATTGATACTTTTCTGGCCGGAAGTCCTTGTTAACGATTCTTCAGATGAAAATGTTGGTGTACACATTATGTATAGTATTGATATATATAGTTAAGCAAGTAGTTGTGATTAAACAACATGAAGATTTCTTACGTATCACTTCATTTATGCAGAGTACACTAATGTAAATGTAAAAATTGCTATTTTCTGAACTCGTAAACATTTACAGATGTTTAGTCCTATACAGATAAAACATGAATCCACGGGTGTAGAGGATATAAATGCGAGTAACAGAGTTAACACTTCAGACAATTCTGCATATCCTATTTTTATCAATCAAGATGCAGAGTACAAGCACCGTCAGTTATCTCAATTTTGGGAGCAAACGCAGTTACCGAATGAGATGCCTGCAAAAAATGAAGTTCATGACCAGCAGGCTATGTTTCAGGTAGAAGTAAGTAATCTAAGCATCGTTATATAAGTATGTTCTATCTGTTGTATCAAATTTTTCGTATCTCCATTCTAGGAAAGTGGAAACTTACATACATATGCTAAGGACTATGTACAAAATGGTATATTCTTCCAAGAAAATGGTAACAATCAAATGCAGATGAACAATCAATGCCAACAGAGCGCAAACAGTGTCATCATGGTACAAGAGAACAGACAGCCACAACTGCAGCAAGATTTGCAGGATGTCCGAAGCATTAATCAGATATCGACAGCACAGTCAACAGCTGTAAAAAGTAACCGTCTTGGAAGACCGTCCAAGAGCTCCATGGAATCTGGTCCAGGGAAGAAATTGAAATGCCAATGTGAGATTTGCTTCAAGGAGTTTGGACACAAGAGTAATTTGTTCATACATATGAGAACTCACAACGGTGAGAGGCCGTACAAATGTAGTCAATGTGACAAGTGTTTCACACACAGTGGCAACTTGGCTATTCACATGAGAACACATTCCGGTGAACGTCCATATGGTTGTCAGATATGTGGGAAAATGTTCAGTCACAGTGGTAACCTCTCGACTCACTTAAGAACTCATTCGGGCGTGAAGCCTTACAAATGTAGCGTGTGTGGCAAAGAGTTTAGGCACAGTGGTAACTTGTCGATACACGAGAGGATACATTCCGGTATTAAGCCGTTCCAATGTAAAGTATGCGGCAAGGAGTTCTATCACAGTGGAAATTTGACGACCCACATGAAGAAACATACCACAAATGCGAATACGAACACGACCGACTGTGAAAACGAGCGAAAGCGTACACTGCATACCAATACGCATGTTAATGATACCGCTTCTACAAATTATTTAAGTAATGTGCCGTTAACGCTTAACGACAACATTAAGTCTATGCATAATACTAATAATGTGGTTCCTATAAAAAATGAAAGTACAGAAGATCCTGTGTTGAGTACTATGGGATTATTAACATCCACTTCCAGTTGAAGCAGATAAGGTCATTATTATTATGTATTAAGAGATTATTAAGATAATACTGAGTCTCCACAACATTTCTTCGCTCAGTATTTTATCCACTAACGAGCAATTTTTATTACTGGCAGGTAGAAAATTATTTTCATTTGGCAATGTTTATATTCCATTTGGCAATGTTTGGCATGTTTCAGCTACTTGATCTTCCTGAGTCTCAAATATGTAATTTTATTGTATAGCAAAGTAAGAGATTGGTTTTATTAAGTTCTACACACATTCATCTATTAACTGGACGGAGCATAGTTTTTTATCTGTGATTTGTTCAATCTGTGTTCATTCTTTGAGTTATTGAAATAGGATCTGAGGCAATGGTAGGAATATTTCAGGAATCGTTCAGCTTTTACATGTAAGAAAAATTAACATCTTTATATTCATCGCGTTTAATTATTCTTGTTCGTACAAAAATTTTGTAATTAATAATATCAACTTAAATTCTTGTCTTGAGTTAAATCAAACAATTATTATAATATCTTAATCATATAAAGCACAAATGATAAAAATGAGTAACATCCGTTTGAATTTTAAAATTCTATATGTGCAATTTTATATATATATAGTAAATTAATGACAATGGTAAAATTGCTCGTTAAAACTTTTGTTATCGCTATTTTTTATATTTATTTGCAATTGTTATAGAATTCATTTCATTAAACTATTTACTCTCGATTTTTTTATATTGTTCATATAGCAGATATCGATTGATATAGTTTGCAAGTGAGATAAAAGTTAAAAACTATGTAACTTTTGTATGCTTATATTGGTCGAATGTAAAATTCTATCCTATATTTAACGTTTCTGAACNTATGTACAATTTATATAATTCAAATTATATATACTTTATATTATATATATATATATACTTATCAAATTTATAATTTAGAAATAACATCTAAATCTTAGTCATATTCTTAGACATATCCAATCTACATCATGAATACTTCGATATTTAACAATATGTTATATGTAACAGTAATGATTGCATACAATCTCTTTTTCACTCGGAATGAATCATAATACTTTTCAGGTGAGAAGCTTGATCCCATGTTACTATCATTATAAAATTAATACTTTAGCTGCCTACAATAATTATTACTTTGTTTATATATATATATATATAGATAAAAATGTGGAATGTTATCTGTTAAGTATTATCTGTTATAAAGTCATTGGTTTAGACTAGGGTAACTATGGTGTTAATGTCATGAACATTGTTTTAGTAAAAGATTCTTTGAGCCTTCTACTATACTGGTTACTTTCATGGAACAATGTTATTGTTTGAAAACATTCGCGTACGATTAACGTACGACCTTCAACGGCACAGTCATGTTCCGTGGCAGACGAGCTTCAAGAGTTCCTGCTACGTTTTCGGAAAGTTCATGCCAAATGTACTTTCCGATTATAGGCACGTCTTCCAAAGGCAATTTGAAGGATACCAATAACGTTAAGCACAGACCGTCTCCTCCTTGACCACTGCTAAATTCTACGGACAATAAGCCATGCGGCTTGTGTTGCGCTACGTCGTTTCCGAATATTTCCTAAGAGAATGTAATAACTATATAAATATTTGTATCGAATGTAATAGTTATGTAAACATTTGTAGAAAAATTTATTTCCAAAAGAATTAATAACTTTTTAAGCTATTATGTGATAAAATTAGGTTTGAGATTTGCACAGAAATTTTCACTGCAAAATACACAGAAAATATATTGACATCTAAATTATATGTGAATATTTGTGATTATAAAATAATACTTCTGTAACATACTTACTGTCATAAAACTATGCAAAGTAGACAATAAACTACGATTTGGGTTGATTTCACAGATTGGTAATTCATACTGTTCTGTGTCAGAAAGGAGCACATGCAGTCTGTTCCTAGTGATAATAAAATATATTTATTTATTATCCTATATATATTAACTATTATGTGCTTATAAATTTATTATATAACTCACGTTGCCCTTTTCTTAGATGTGACTGTTAATCTTAGCAATAGTTTTGAATGAGGTTTAATCACAGGCATCAAATGAGGATGCTGAGATACAGTCTTATTTAAAACATAACTCTTGCCTCTCTCCAGTAGATAAATGATATCATTAGACCTTAGTGGCAGGTCATTTATGTTTCGTACCCAGCAAGCCTGCAGAGATTCTTCATTTGCCTGATCGGGTGTTTTTAGAGTACCACCAACTATATCTCCAGTGAACACAAAGCGAAACCATGTACCATTAGCGCATTCTACCAGTATTAAAGTCGTTGGTGCTAGCACCAGTCCTGTTTCTTCCAGGACTTCTCTTTTTACTGCGCTGAGCAGATCTTCGTTTTTTTCTACTCTACCAGCTGGCAAATACCATTTTCCATTGCAAGAGGCCTTAGCCTCTTGTATCATCAACATTTCACCCTGGTCATTTATAACAACAGCAGCGACTATGTACGTCACTGTTTTCAGGCAAACAGGAATGTATGATGTCAGTTGACCTGATTTCGCACCTGAAATGCATATTAGTTTGGTCGTATTAATCCTTCCCTTTAGAAAAAGAAAAACGTTCGGGACTTACTAAGAACATTGCGACAGTAATTGTTGTGCGAGAGGGATTTGACATACCTGCTGTGTCATCTGCGAGAACGTGTACATTATGTGTATCGTCGGGTTCTAACGCCTGTCCGGCGAGTAGAGATTGAACTTGATTCTCTATAAAATCTGACATATTACACGCAAATAAAAGCGCTAAGCCGCGTTATCTGCACGTGCGACACGTTCTTAAAATATTCATTAAACGTGAACTATCGATCGTTAAGATCTTAGCACGATCAACTGACATACAATGTGAAAGTGACAGCAATTAGTACATACGTAAACGTACGATAAATATGTAAATTGAGATGTGCGGTTTTAGTTGCGTCTTTACTGATGCCCGCGCCGCATCATGAAATTCCCTATGTCATCTCTATTTCTTCGGGAAATGCTCTTTACAGTATTTTGTTAAAAGATATTTTGTTAAAAAAAGATATTTGCGTTCAGAAAAACACGGAAGAATGATAACCGTCTTCTTTCCGGAGATTACACGAGTGGTCACGAGCACATGTCAAGTTCGGAATATATTTCGTCTAAATTGGCATTACTGTAGTTATGTTCGCTATGACAGTCAGCAATTCATGTTTGTGATGTTTTATTAAAATTATCAAAGCTGAGATTGTATTCACATGTCTGATAATTATAATGCTGAAAGTGTTATCGTTGAAAATACACGGTTTATTATTGTGTGAGCAGTAGAAGTTCTGCAAAAATGGTCTAGTGGGGACGTCATTATCGAATATTATTCTATATTTAGGAAACCGCTCGAATATCGTATGTGATTTCCAGTCACTCGGCAGAACAAGACAGTGATGTAGTAATGTGACAGAGAGAAGTCCAAATAAAAATAAACTGAAAATGGATGCTTTAAGTGTGCTAATTGTAATAGCTCTGATACACTGTTCATTATTCTTTTTTGATACACTTTTTAAGGTAAATCAACCATTTTCACACGATATTTCTGTCATACTTTTGTGTTCAAAAATTTAATACAAATAGTTTATTACGAGGGGTGATATTTATGATGTGAAAAGTAATTTTCTTAAAATTTAAGAGAGTCATCCTATGTTATTAATATATTGACGTTTTCTGTCATCAACTTTTGTATACTCTTGTTCTTTATTTGATTATGTTATAGACATATTATTGAAACTAGAAACATATAAGACAATCTTACAACTTATTTTTCAGTCCTGTTCACATTTACCATATTTCTACTTTCTGAAGAATACCGGCTTGGAAATTCAGATATTGAGAATAAAATGGTTTACGACTGCTTTCAATCGCAAAATAATAAAATGGGGAATGGATCGCTCAAAGTTTTGGACTGCTTGGTTTAATGCTGGTGTTATTATAAGCATTATATTATTGCCAATAGCTGTTCTCATCATCTTAAAGATGACATTTAACATGTGGTTGGCTGGATCTTCAAGTGATACTGGTTCAGGAGCTATATTAGAGCCAATGGTACATTTTGAAAATAAGATATTCAAGACAAGATACTCTCAATAATCTTCGATGCATAGGAAAATTTATCTAACTGTGACAGGAATTTCATTTTTATTTTACTATGATATATTAATGTATATAGTATGACTTTTAGTAGTATAATTATATTAATTTATATAGAGTATACATATTGGTATAATCTTCGGTGTGCATTTAACTTTTATAATTTTATACATTTTAGTTACCAGGAGTGGATATTCCATTCAATGAACTTGGTTATTATGTAACAACATTAGCAGTATGTAGTATAGTTCATGAATTAGGACATGCTCTTGCTGCAGCACGAGAAGACGTGCAACTGTTTGGTTTGGGAATTTTTATTTTTTTCACCATTCCAATAGCTTATGTACACATAAGCAATGAGCAGCTGGTTGCATTGCCCTTGCGAAATCAATTACGTGTTACATGTGCAGGAATTTGGCACAATATCGTTTTTGCCACAGTAGCTGCGGCAATCCTTGTGTTTTCTACGTGGCTGTGGGCGCCACTCTATAGTCTTGGCTATGGAGTTTATGTAAAGACTATTTTACCAGTGAGTATTGTCGAGATCATGTTAGCAATAGATTTTGTCTGAATATTTTGTCACTCAAGTGAACTTACTTCACAATGTTCTTTGTGCAGAATTCACCTGTGTTGGGACCGACCGGTCTTCTGGAACACGATGTAATATACAAGTTAAACAATTGTCCTGTAAAGAATAGCGAGGATTGGTATGACTGTATATTGCACTCAGTGCAACATCCAACTCCTGGTTACTGCGTTAGGCAATCGTTTGTCCAGGTAATATTTCTGGAGGATACTCATCAATCTCCATTGCTCGCATTATTTTTTATAAGCTATGTTATTATTTTACAATTTGCGAAAGAAACGTTTATAATTACAATTGTAATATTTTCGTGTTATTGTTTCAGGATTTTGATGAATCAGTGCCAGCTAAGCAGAAAACGAACGGAGTCGTGAATTGCTGTACAGCTGATAGCGAAACGAGTGGTAGCCTATGCTTTGAATATATCGAAGGACCACAAGCTGCCCCTCTTCATCTACCTCCGCATTCTTGCCTTCCAGCGAGGGTGATGATTAACCAGTCGCAAAATTTTTGTCAAGCCAGTCACGAGTGTTTATCTCAAGACACTCATTGTATGAAACCTTCCTTAGACAATGTGACAAAGGTAAGTACAAGTAAGAGGTACAACCAGAAATTTGTGTCTAATAGACTTTCATAAACATGGTTATCAAAGGATATCGTTCTTTCTCTATTTCTTATTTTACAGATTGTACAAATAAAGAGGAAAGTAGGTAAGGATATATTATTCTTTGGTCATCCAGCAGATATTTATAGGACTGTCGATGTGTCAGATTGGGTACCAAAGTATTCTTTTTTTCATCCCAAATTGCCCGAATCATTGGTATTACTTTGTAAATACATCACGGTGTTTTCAGCAGGGCTGGCGATCATTAATGTTGTGCCCTGTTTCTTTCTAGATGGTCAATATGTTATAAATGTACTTGTACTTTATTTATTAAATTCCAGGCCACATAATAAAAATATTAGAGAAGCCACCGTACTTACAATAACAAGTATAGGTACATTGCTGCTTATAATAAACTTAATGTATTTACTTACGAATAAAATATTGTAATCTCACAATGTACTTTTATTTTCTCCACCTTCAATTACCAACATTTATGGTGTAAATTTACAATTTTTTCATCTATATCTTGTATAATAATATAATGCCCACACATACATATTAAATGCTTATTTTAATGATTTACTAAAATTTTCGGTGACATGTAATTTTTTATACGTGATATCAATTTAAATATCTTCACATTTAATTTTCGAGTATCGTTGCATAAAAAATATTTAGGCACCAAAGATATAAGTTTTTTTTGAATGTGAGCTACGAAATTATATATTTTAATATTTTCTGAATTTCACGTATTTATACATATATATATCTGATATATATATATATATATATATTATTAGTTGCCAGATAAATAATTTTAACATTTATAGGGAAGTAATGAGAAATTTATGCCTATTTTCACATGTATTGTATTTTGTTAACATTACT